TCCTGTTCGTGTCGGGAAGCATCCAAAAAAAAAAAAAAATCAGAGCCCGAAGCTTTTCAACTCAATTTAAATCATTCTGACTTTCTCCGCAGTCACATTAGGAACTCTGCTCCGTACAATTGGCTTTGCAAATTCTCTCTTAATACGGTTTTGCTGGAATTTAAAAAGCCAAGTGGCTGAACGTCTTTTTTTTTGTTAAGACGCAGCGCTGAATCATCTGCTCATGGGAAGCAGAGGTGGAGTTGTTCCCTGATTTGCTGTTTAAATTGCATTGCTGTCGTTTCGTTTTGGTTAGCGTTGTCATTACTGACGCGGCTGTTCGTTGGGACATTGCAGTGCGCAAACGTTCACCCAGAAAACACACAAGTCACTCCACCACTACACAGTAAAATCCTGGGAAATGCTCTTGACACCTACTCCCGCTTGAAAGGCACTATACGAATAATAAAGATTATTATTATCATTATTATTTGACGGATATGTTGCAAGTATGAATTTGAACATCCTCAAAATTCTCCGGGACGTTCGACTCCCGTGTTTCCATCCCAGCAGATTCCCGGAAGCAAATATAATATTTTCTTTCCTCCATAAATTATGCATCTGTGACATTCAGACATTTTTTTTCCCGTAGATGAGGTCACATCCCTGAAAGCAGGCTGATAACTTTTTTTTTTTTCGTAGGGATTTCAAAGGATTATAGCCTTTTCAAATTTATTCTTCAGTAGTATCTGAAATAATTTTCTATAGATAGCTTTGTGGTCACGTCAACAAAAGAAGCTATCCAGGCTTCATCTCGACCGGAGTGCTTTTATTTGAAGGGCGAAATCAATTGTGTGATGAAATAATAATAATAATAATAATCCTTGCATTTTGATATGCGCTTTTCACGTCAGGAAGGACGTCTCGAAGCCCTTCACAGGGTTTCCAGTGAGCGCAGCGACCGCCTGTCGTGATCTTTAACATCCACCCGAACAGGCAGACATCTCACCTGCAGAGGTAGCATCTCCAGCAATGCAGCACACGCCCCCCCCCCCCCCCCCCCCACCCCCAAAGATTTAGCAGATCGTGGGTTCAAGCCCCGCTTCGGAACTATAAATTCATGTCGTCAGGCTCGACACGCCAACGCGCTGCTGGGTAGATAACTGCGCTGTTCAGAGGTGCCGTGCTTCAGCTGAGACCATTAAACTGAGGTACCATCTGTAGGACGTTAAACATCCCACATGGCGCCACTTGAAAAGGAAGGGAGCCTCTGCTGGCGTCCGGGACCAAAAATCCCCCGAATAAAATGGGTCATTCACTTCACGGCCGTTTGTTGGGACGTTGCTGTGTGCAATTGGCTGCCACATTCGCCCACAAAACACACAGTCAATAATGTTGCAATAACTCCTGCTTTTGAGATATTCCCTTAATGTGAAAGGCGCTGTATCCAATGTAAGGATTGTAATTATTATACATTGGCACTGCCTGTATATCCTCAGCTCAGTGAGGTCCCAGAGTCACAGAGGTGGGAGATAGACCATTCGTTCCTGCGCCAGATTCTTGGCACCAAGAACGTTTATGGGATATTTTCCGCATGGAGACGTGGAGCCTGATGATTTACACGGCGCTTTTCGAAGCACCACTGAAAATCACAGCACAAACCGGATACCGGATTATTACTGTTACACCTTCCATTTAGTTTCGAGCCTTTTTTGCTTTCAGACGTCTGTATTCACAGTGGTTCGGTTTTAGAAACTCTTAAGTAAGCAGTCTCGATTTACGCCCCCAAAATACACCGTCAAATTCACTTTACAATATATGCTGTGAAGCACTTTGAGGCGTCTCAACGAAATGACAAGGCTCTATATCAAATGTCAGGATTATTATATCACCATTATCATTATTATTGGGTTTCTGACCTCAAATGAAAGTCTTATAGCAGCTTCCAAGGGTGAAACCTGGTTAACTGCCGAGATCTAATGCGAAACCTTTGTGACTCATACGTACACAGAAGCTTAAAACTTGTATTTTCAGACTTACAATCAATTGCAATACGAAAATAAGCACTAATTGTTACTTCAACTCTGCAAAACACAACGTAAAGAGAAGGGAGTTTTTCCCAATTTACTGGTCAACAATTCACAGATAAAACATTTTATTTGCATGGCCTGAAAGGGTGCTGGAAGCCGATTCGATGACAACTTTTAAGAGAGGAGTAGATAATTATTTGGGGAGGACAAGTTTGCGGGGCTGTGGGGAGAGAGCGCGGGGGAAGTGGGATTGATTTGGATAGCTCTTTTCAAAGAGCCGGCACAGATACGATGGGCCGAATGGCCTCCTTCTGCGCTGTATAATTCTTTGATTCCTATGATTTACCGAGTTTGACGTACAAATAGAGAACAACAACAACAACATTACATCTGTACAGCGCCTTTCACATCGGGAGGACTTCCCAAGACACTGGACAATCCGTGTTTCGGAACCCGAGCTGGGGGTCGGGATCGGGGAGGGTGGAGGACAGGAGTGGGAGGAGAGTGACCGAAGGCACGGTCAAAGAGGAGGGGCTTGAGATGGGCCGTGAAGGAGGCGAGGGAGGTGGCAAGGCAGAGGGACTGCGGGATTGCGTTCCAGAGGGTGGGGGCAGAGTGGTTGAAGGCCCGCCCGCCAATGGTGGGGCCGGCGAGGTGGGGGGACGTGAAGCAGGCCAGAGCCCGCTGAGCAGAGGGAGCAGGACGGTAGGGCATTAGAAGGTCACAGAGGTAGTGGGGGAGCAAGACCATGGAGGGCTTTGAAGGTGAGGACCAGGATCTTGAACTGTATCCTCTGTGTGATGGGAAGCCAGTGGAGTCGGGCGAGGATGGGGGTGACAGGGGTCAGGGAGCCCGGTGCGGGAGAGGACACGGGCTGCAGAGTTCTGGCTGATCCGCAGCCCGTGGAGGGAGGAGTTGGGGAGGCCGACAAGCAGGGAGTTTGCGTAGTTGAGCCTGGATGGTACGAATATGTGTCTGAGGATGTCGAGGGCCTGCGGTGTGAGACCGTGTCGGAGCCGGGCGACATTGCGGAGATGGGGGAAGGGGGGAATGGGGGAAGGTCATGGCACGGATGTGAGGTTGAAAGGACAGTTGAGGGTCAAACAAGACCCCAGGCTTCCGGACTGGCTTAGCAAAGTGGAGTGTGCTACCATGGATGGTGATGCTGTCAGCGTCCGAGGTGAGGAGGCGCTGACGGGAGTCAATCAGGAAAGCCTCGGCCTTGTTGACGTTCAACTGTAGAAAGTTCGCTCCCATCCAGGACTCGATGTCTGACAGACAGTCTGTGAGGACAGCAGTGGTCCTGGAGTCGAGAACGATTCAAGGATTCCTATTATTTCTTATTAATATGGGCACATCTGTTGTCCCCCTGTCATGCGTGGAACACGAGACTCATATCAACCAGCAGCTGTGTGAGTGAAGCAGAGATTGATCCACAGATAATTCTAGCGTTTATATGGAATTCTACTTTTACCTTCTACTTTTAGGTTTCATGGGTATCGGCCCATAAGTAGGAACCCGGTTGTTAGTCGATTGGTGCTATTCCGGGGGTAATAATTCCTTAAAAAATATATAATAATAAATTTGGGCACTCAATCCACGGGTGTTTGTGGGGGACGCTGCTGTGCGTAATTGACAGCCACGTTTCGCCCACAAAATATACACTTTACAGTCTATCCTGTGAAGCGCTTTGAGACGTCTCGAAGACGTGATAAGGCGCTATATCAAATGCAAGGATTATTATTACTATATAGTGAAAAATAACCCAACAACTTGCAGAATGACAAACAATGTGGTTTTAGCCGGTTAGTTTCCAGCAGTTAACTTCCATCCCAACAATCTATCGCTGTGATTTCTACGTGTAAGGTGCGCGGAATTCTATATTTGACCAAGAAAACAAAATAATGATCCTTGCATTTGATATAGCTCCTTTAACATCAGGAGGACGCCTGAAAGAACGTCACGGGATTTTCACAGGAAGGCGTAGCGACTGTGTTTTTTACAGGCGAAAAGATTTATAATGAAATCCCTCCTCTTCTCCCTCCCCTCGGTGTGTATCTCCCTCGGAATCACTTCTGTTGGCTGATTATAATAGCCTTTGCTTTCGATGTAACATTGGAACGTCACTGAGATTCTGGATCCTTGTAGAATTTCAGTCAGTGCAACACAATATACATTTACGTGGCTCCTTACAAATTGGGAGGATGCTCCAAAGAGCCTTGACAAGCCTTGGCTGGGCGACAACACTGAGGGTGTAAGCCGAGGGGGTGCGGGGGGGGGGGGGGGGGGGGTACGATCAAAGGAGTATGATTTGAGACATGCCTTGAAAGGAGGGAGGGAGGGAGGGAGGGAAGGAAGGAAGGAAGGAAGGAAGGAAGGAAGGAAAGGAAGGAAGGAAGGAAGGAAGGAAAGGAAGGAAAGGAAGGAAGGAAGGAAGGAAGGAAAGAAGGAAAGAAGGAAGGAAGGAAGGAAGGAAGGGAAGAAAGGAAGGAAGGAAGGAAGGAAGGAAGGAAGGAAGGAAGGAAGGAAGGAAAGGAAGGAAGGAAGGAAGGTACTAAGTAGCTGAAAGCCTGCCTGCCGATGGTGGGGCAGTTGGAAAGAGAGAGAGAGAGAGGGAGAGCACAATGTGGAGTAGAACCAGCGTGTCAGCCGAGCGAAGGAAACGGTTGGATCGGTACGGGGCAAAGGGAGGTAACCGCTCAACTCTGAGAGAGAGAGAGAGAGAGAGAGAGAGAGAAAAAACAGCAACAACAGTGGTTCTAGAAGCCTTCGAACTCTTCCCTCCTCTCAAGGGGGAAGAGTCGCCGAGGCCCGTCCGATCGACGAGACGTTCGGCAGATGAAATCGTTCGCGAGGACGAAAGCGCGGAGGGTTGTGGGGGGGGGGGCGGGGAGGGGGGGGCGCGGCGGTGGGGGGGGGGATGCGACGCAGCTGTTTTAAGAGTTTGCCGTTCGTGACGGCTGATTCGTTTTGTTTTGTTCTCCTCCGCAGCTGAGCACACGGCCTTCGAACCATCGGGGGATTCCGTCCTTGTATTGCGAAGCGAAACTGGCAGCGGAAAGCCACCAAGCTGTCAAACAACAGCTGTTTAAGGCATTGCAGAAAGCCGGCCTGGGCACGTGGGTGAGGAAGCCACCAGAGCAGGATTATTTCCTGTTGGCTTTGTAAAGACGACCGCGACGAGAGAGAGAGAGAGAGACGATGTTCAAAGTTAAGGCGAACTTGTGGGCGAAAGGGCAAAATGTTAATCGAGAGAGAGAGAGAGAGAGAGAGAGAGAGAGAGAGAGAGAGAGAAATAAACAACAACAACAACAACAACAAGATTCCATTTATAAAGGGCCTTTCACGTCAGGCGGACGTCCCAAGGCGCTAAAACACCCACCCGACTTTTTTCTTCTGAAGACCTCCCCGCCACCACCCCCTCCCCACGAAGTCAACACCCAAAACCACCCACCCCACCACCCCCACCCCCCCCCCACCCACCCCCTGACTCTCAGTTTCCAACCTTTACTCCCAGATCGACGGCGTCCGTTCAAAGACGCTCTCTACGGTGATGTAGAAGTACACAGAGAGACACAGAGAGAGAGAGAGAGAGAAACAGAGACAGAGAGAGAGAGAGTGAGAGAAAGATGATGATGCTCTTTCCCTCCTCCCCGTAAGGAAATTCCCAACGGGGGGGGGGAGAGGGGACACGGGAAAAAAAAAACACGCCGAAAAATCAGGAGGATGCAGACCGGTAGGGGAAGAGGGTGACTAATTAGGCAGTGATTTCTAACTCAATTCCTTTACACGGAAATCCGGGGCGACGCGTAGAGTCATCGAAATCATAGGAATTCAATGCAATGGCTCCCGAAGCAAGATTTTCGTTCAATCCCACTGCCCTGCCTTATCCCGATACCGCTACGAACCTCTATCCCGTCTACTTCCCTCTTGAAACCCACCACATGCTCTGCCGCCACACGGCAGCCCCCTTGCCTCGAAGACGCGATGAGGCGCTATATCAAATGCAAGGATTATTAATATTATTATTAAAGATTTCTCCCAAGCTCTCCTTTCTGCGACTCTTTTCTATCCGGCACCCAGGCCCTGGGAACTCCGCTCGATCTTACTTGTTGCACCTTGGAGGCCCTGTCGCGTATTCGTCAGAGAGAGGACCCGGGATCGATTCCCCGGTGGTGCGAAACCTTAGGCAAGTTTCCTTACTCCACACACCTCTGGTTACCCAGCAGTAAATAGGAACCCGGTCGGTAAACGCTTTCCGCAGGTGAATAAACCCTTCAAAAAAAATAAATCGGCCACTCCAATCCACGACTGTTTGTGGGGGACGCTCCTGTGCGCAACTGGCCCTCGCCTTTCGCCCACAAAATACACAGTCAATACACTTTACAGTATATCCTGTGAAGCGCTTTGAGACGACTCAGTGACATATGCTATATCAAATGCAGGGATTATTATTATTATTATTACCTTAAATCCCGTAAATCCTGATGACCTCCAAGTTACCGAATGGAATGACCACTGATATTCCTGACCGAGGAATCTGGTTAGAAATCACTGTACATTAGATCTCAGGAGCAGGCAGCTGGCTCGCCAAATGGTATGGCAAGCACTTTGCAGTCGAAATAAATTGCACGACCCATTTTACATCTGTCTCTCCGAACATTTGCCTCTGTTGGCGGCTGTTTAATGCATTTTGTCTCGTGGCACAATGGGTCCCTTATTATTAATCTGTCGGTCTTCTGAAGCACAAGTTAGCAGGTCTTTGCTCTGACTGTTATTCGTTCGAAAAATTCCATTCTGGTTGTATAAAGTCCGAGTTCAAAGTAATTAAAGCAAAGGCTGTCTCATAAAACTCAATCCCGATTTATTTGGGGGGCCATCCGAGTTATTGTTTAAGTTGAATTTGACTGTGCCATTGTCTGTGTCTCGTTGGGATGTGCTGCGTCCGAGAGAATGTGTTGGGCGATGGAATGTCAATGTCCATTCGGCCTTTATTTGGTTGTCTCAGTTCTGGCATTTGATCCGGGCAGATCCACAAGAGTCCAAAACGCAGCTATCGACAGACCAGCCAGCCCGGCTCATGGGCAGATGACACGAGCATAAGAGTTTGCTGGACAACAGAAGACTAAGGTCCATCCAGTTTGCCTTCCAACCAGCCTGGCAGTCGCTTGAACATGTCATGACCCAACCTATATACTGTATATTATTTCCCATTAAGAACATTACTCCCCATAAAAACATGAGGCAGGTTTTGGAAGGGGCAGATCAGTCACTGGCGGGGGGCTGGGGGCGGGGGGTGGAGTGGGGGGACGCAGGGAATTTTCCCCCACTCGGTTCTTGTTTACCCTACAACCCAAAGTCCTGATGGACAGTGCTTGCTCTCAATAGCAGGCTGGTTTAGTTGGTTAAGCACTTATCCCAACCAACACTAAGTAGTCCCGAAATCTTAGCTCCTTCCAACCTGTGCCTAACACCCTCCAGAGTTAGAGTAGGAGCATTTCCACGATGTTAGTTTACCTAACAGTAAATGGGAACCCAGTCGTTAGTCGATTGACGGATTGCTTTCCGAGGGTAATAATCCCTTAAAACGAAAAACATTCGGCCACTCAATCCCCGACTGTTTGTGGGACACTGCTGTGTGCAATTTTGGCTGCCGAAAAATATACAATCAACTCTGTGAAGCCATTCGAAATGTCTCGAAGACGTGATAAGGCGCTACATCGAATGCAAGGATCGTTATTATTATTACCATTAAGGGCACCCACCTCACAGGTAGATGTTTTGCTTCAATGTGTTGTCCGCCATTGATTTCTCCGTTAAAACAAAGAAAAAGATTGATTTTTTTTTTGCTTTGAACAGGCATTCCTTGCGGATCCAAACAGCAAATATCGGATTGATGCCAAACCTCGCGTTGTCCATGATTTTTAAAGTCCTAACAACGTGTGAGGGAGGTGAGGGGTGGGAAGGAGGGGGGTGGGAACGGACGGCTGTATTTTCATCCATTACCTTCAGTTTCTCTCTAAATATACAAAACAAAAACACACTCTGGGAAGCAAAATGAAAAGTACCATTGTCGGAGGTGCTGACAATCTTCCCACCCACCCCCCCTACCCCCACCCCCCCCCCAATAAAATTGGTCACTCACTGTTTGTGGGATTGCTGTGTGCAACTGGGTCGCTCACAAAATACACTTTACAGTACACCCTGTGAGGCGCTTTGAGACGTCTCGATGGCGCGAAAGGCATTGGATTCAAACGCAAAGATTGTTATCGGAATCGGGCTCAAGTCTCGGCGGATGGAGGCCGAGGTGGGGAAGTTAGGGTTAACCCACTGCGGATCGCAAAAACAGTAAGATAATAATAAAAAAATAATATTATTATTGTAACATTCGTTTATCCCACCTCGGGTTGCGATAAAACCAGCTGCCACCTCGAGTACCGTTCAGATCGGTGTCGATTCCAACGCCAGAACCAGCACTCGGTTTCCACTTCGAACAGTAACAAACCTTTGCATTCGGTACGGCCCCTCATCACGTCTTCGAGACGTCTCAAAGCGCTTCGCAGAATATACCGTGAAGCGAATTGACTGTATGTTTGTGGGCGGAACAGCGGTAGCCAATTGCGCACAGCAGCGTCCCCGCAAACGGTCGCGGATTGAAGTGACCAATTTATTATTATTTCACTTGCCAAGTAACGCTATTGCCATCTCCTATTTTATGTTGCCGCCTTGGCCAGCTGGTTGGTAGAAGGCCCGGCCAGGAGAGAGAGTGAGAGAGCGAGAGAGCGAGAGAGAGAGAAAAACATATCTGACTTGCTGGACGCTTTCTGATATTTTTACTGTCTTCATTTTGAAAATTTCATATTTAACAAACGTGAAAAAGAAAAGGAAAGGGATGACTATTACCTTGTCATGTGCCGCAGTGCGTAAGAAGATTGGGGTTCTTTTACATGGCTCTGTTAGCGTTGGATGATATGAACTGTTTTTTGGAGTGGGTGCGAGGGAGGGAGGGAGGGAGGGAGGGAGGAAAAAATGTAAAAAAAAATGTAGAATGCAAGTCGAGCCGTGTATATAATAAAATATTGAACGCGCAGCCTTAAAATACTAATGTCCTGTTGAAACGTACACAAACCACAACCGATGAAGCCGTTTGGTTTCCACCGGGACCTCAGTTTCCAGTTTACTCTGGAGTCTCACCAAACCGCTTTTGGTGCCGCTCGATCCACGACTGTTTGTGGGACAGCCCTGTGCGCAATCGGCTGCCTCGTTTCTCCCCGGAAAATACAAGGCCACGCCACTCGACAGTATATTCTGCCAAGCGCTCTGAGACGTTTCAACGACGGGTGCGAAGGGGAACGGAAGGCGTAACGGCCAGGGGTGTCGTCTTGTCCTTTGTGCGGTATCTTCTTTTCTTCTCTTGTCTTCTTTCCCGGGTCTGTCACAGTAACATCGTGTGAAGCACTTTGAGGGGGTCGGGACGCGGTGATAAGGCACTATGCCGGACGCAAGGATTATTTCGGCTTCCCAGAAACGGGGGGGGAACCATCTCAATACAGAAGTTGAAGCGTTTCGTTCAAAAAGGAGCCAGCGTAGGGGGACAGCTTCGAGGTCTCCACCGTCACACACCCTTGTTGGTGGCTGAGTCACTCCTCACCCTCCAAAACATGCTTCCCATTGGCGCACACTGTAGTGTTGTAACCACAGCCAACAGCAAGGACCAGTGTCTTAACAACAACAACATCAACAACACATTACATTTGCATAGGGCCTTTCACATCAGGCGGACGTCCCGAAGCCCTGGACAGCCCTCGAAGAGGAGGGACTTGAGACCGGTTTTGAAGGAGGCAAGAGAGGGGGTTGAGGCAGAGGGAGTTGAGGCGGAGGGAGTTCCAGAGGGTCAGGGGGGCAGAGAGGCTGAAGGTCCGCCCGCCAATGGTGGGGGGGCGGACGAGGAGGGGAGGACGTGAAGCAGGCCGGAGCCCATTGAATGGAGGGAGCGGGCAGGTTGGAAGGGGCTTCAGGAGGTCACAGAGGTAGGGGGGGAGCAAGGCCGTGGATGGCTTTGAAGGTGAGGACCAGGATCGTGAACTGTACTGAGCGTCTCGGCTGGGATCTTGCTGCAATGTTGTCGTCTGAAAGTCGTCGCGTCTGTCGTGATCACATCTGATGTGACGTCTGACGATTTCTGACGTCTCTCACGACTTCAGGCGTCGACAGGGCTGTGTGTTCC